ATACATACATACATACATACATACATACATACATACATACATACATACATACATAATCACAGACACACACGCACACGCACCCGCACACGCACCCGCACACGCACACAGGAACAGATACACTTTCCCTGCTCATATATTACCTATTTGAGTTGTAAGTTCCAAGAGCAGTAAAAATCTAACAAAAACTAAGAATTATGAACACCCACCATACTAATCCTTGTCCAACTCTAAAAGGTGAGCCCAGCCTGAATACTGAGCGTCATATAGCTTTAGCTAACTCTGAGCTTTGTCGGTCGTTCGTGAGCCTCAACCTGATTTCACAGATGTCCACGTCCTTTCGGTATGTCTGTAAGCGGAAGCAAAATCCACTCTCAAGAGAAAGGTGAATATTAGTTCAAGAGAAAGCTATTAGACACATATTGAAAATCTGGAAAAATCTATCACAATTTTGTTGTTTGTAAATAGCCTCATGAAATGATAATTTCCAAAAAAGATATCTTGTGAAAGATATATTATCTTTCTTGCAAAAGCTTTGCAAAAGTTACCGGAAACTGTCAAAGAAATTGTATTATTTTATAACAAAGTACGCTCATAGCATGCTTAAAGTAAAAGAAAAAGCAAGATTTTATTTTTTAAAAGATTTTTTTTTTTTTTTTTTTTTTTTTTTTTGGGGGGGGGGGGGACTTCTTTTTGGGCTCAACACCTCTTTGTCCAATTTAAAATACATTTCCGTGTGGATTTTACTGAAACATGATGATCAAATGCAAAAAGAAAAAAAAGGGTAAATAAGCAGCTTCCAAGAATACTCTAGATTTGGAAGTCATCATAATTTGGCAGCCAGTTTCTCGCTAACTTTTAGCTCTGAAACAAGAAACCCCTACCTCCTGCAGTTGCAAATATTTCTAAGTCTACTCAAGATAGGCATTTTTGTTCTTCAAACGCAAGGAAAATGGACAAGCTTTAAGATGGTACCAATAACTCCATATTCCCCCAAAAAATTGACAACCGTTTTATTCCACCGCGAGGTGGCACATGCAGTTTGAAAATTCTTCAAGGTAAGGCACAACTGGTGCTGAGATGCTTGGGTTTAATCCTCACCTAAGAAAAAAGTAAATTTTGATCGTAGAGTAGAGTCAAATTTAGGAAAGGAAAGTGTTTCTGCTGCAAGTGCCCGACCTGAAACACTCATTATCAAATCATATTTCGCCATTTGAACTTTAAAAAATCAAACTATAAAAAGCAATGTGCTTTAGCGATTACAAACAAAAACGACAGTGTTGTTATGACCATCGAGATTTGTGTAACGCAGTAATTCGCTTCTACTCATGGTCCGACCAGAGAGCCAGAGACAGTCTCGGTCCTGGCAGTGAAGGCGTTAGGGACAATAACTCAGTCATCTTTGAATTGATTTCAACAAAACTTTGCACAAATAAAATATGAAGAAACAAAATCAATCTATGCGTTCGGGAATTTAGTTATAGTTTGTTTCTGTAATTCGACTAAAAGTGTCTACAAAATAAAATTTACTCCCAACAGTCTTGACTTCGGTGTACGCCTCGGTTTTGTTTCAAGACAGTTCTCTATACTCTATACTCTCCACACTAGCACTCTTGACTACACTATAATCATGTAATCTGTACCCCCTTCCAATATTATTAAACGGAGCTCAGTATTGCAATTATCAGAACCTACATGGCACAAACCATTTAAAATAAATGAATGGATAGAAGAGTGGTGATATATCATGTTGCCCTATGAAACCGGAAGAAAGCTTTAATGTCGATCACTTTTGAATCAGGAACGAAATATTGTTCTTCTTTTTTTTTTAACTTGATTTTTACAGCTTTTTTTCTATGCCAGTCTGAAAATGAGAATCGTCTTTTTACCTGTTCATGCAAGTTATATCAAATAAAACAAATAATTTCTTTTAATCGAAACATTTTTAGGACTCCACTTTTTCATGTTTACTTTTTGCGGTGACAATGTGCAATCAATTTTATTCTCGCAAACTTTCCTTCTGAAGTTATCAAATGACTCCAAAACCACGCTAGGGTAAATTTGAGATAGCCTTTTTTGTGTAGTCCAACTCCTTAAAATGAATTTTTAAATTCCCCATGTCTAATCTAGTTTTTAGCAATGTCTATAATAAAATTCTCTAGCGATACGGATATAGTGCATCAGTTCCTTTCTGTGATATTTTATTTAAAAATGTATGCGATCACTTTATAACAGTGGAGTCTGCTTCCTCTGTTCATTGTACACGTTACGTACATGGACATAGAGAGAGGGGTGGGGGAGAGAGAGAAAGACAGAGAGAGAGAGAGAGACACAAAGAGAGATAAGAAAGATAGTGTAAGTGTGTGCATATGTGTGTGAGAGATAGACAGATATTGACAGAAAGAAAGAAAGACAGACAGAAAGAAAGAAAGACAGAAAGAAAGAAAGAAAGAAAGAAAGAAAGAAAGAAAGAAAGAAAGAAAGAAAGAAAGAAAGAAAGAAAGAAAGAAAGTAAGAAGAAGGAAAGAAACACAAACTTTCCCATTCCACAACGGGCCACACTGCCAAACTGTTGGATTGTTTGTGCTATTTATTGTTTTGCAAACACTGAACGCGCAATATGTTCACAGAGCAGTTTCAGGTTATTCATTTTTTTTAAAATTGTCTCTTCAGACTGCCGATCCCGTCTCCACGCTTTGCCCCCTACTGATGCAGTCAAGTCGATGTCACCACTTGTCAATGAGCGCATGCGCAAACGTCGATGTTTCGCGGACAAGGAGCTGGAGGTGGTGATGTTGGAGAGAGAGCAGCAGGCAGAACTCACCCACCGCCAGCTTGCCCTCCACTACCTCCAGAGACGCCTCGTCTACGGCACGGCCGTACAACTACACCAGCCCCCTCCCGAGCTGCTGGACCATAGACTGCACGACAGGTCCATGTCCAGAGAGTTTCTCATGAAAGTATTTCCTCACCACAACCCTAACTTAGTAGAACTGGTGTTTCAGGGTTGTGGGGGCAACCTGGAAAGAACGATAGAGCAGCTGGCGTCAGAGTTCAAGTGTAATGGCGGCGCGATTAATTCGGTGTCTCCTGTGGTTGGAGAGTACGAGAAGGGGAGAAGCCAACAGACTCCGACGCCCTCATCAGGGCTGCAGTCTTTTCATGCACCGTGCGGCTCAGCGTCGATTCATAAACCGTCTTCAGGAGGACATAGAATGGTTAACGTCTTCCCTTTCGCGTTGCCACAGCCAATGATGGTGCCCGGCTTCACAGCGCCCTTTTACACTTCTCAGATGCTTCAGTTTAACAACGGGCTCGAGACTGAGAAGAAAACTGAAAATGTCGTCCATCAGTCCTCAACTGCTGCGGGGCCATCTGATGGACATCAGCGAAATAAAATAACAAACACCTCGACCCGGAGTTTATCAACCGATAAAATTACTGAAAACGCTCAAGACTCCATGTCAAGGGGGAACAGTGATGAATATTCGTCAAACGTGCATGCCCTTGACCAAACAAGATTAAGCCATATGAACTCAGGCTCCGATAAACAAAGCTGCTTCGTGTCTCTGATCCCAAATTCCGTGTGTCAAAGTCTTGAGGGATGTGAACGACAGTTTCCGCTTCCTGCCAACACTCGCAACTCGGATTTGGAGATGAGCATCAGAAGCAATCCAAGCGCCTATCATGATCTTGATATTGGTGAATGCAGTGAAGAAGACAGGCCTTCATTTATACCAGAAGCAGTGAGCCATGATAACCCTACGTCACACCAGCCCAAAAATGTTATTTTCTCCAGTGCGGAAAGGGGACGAAATTCAAGCGTCGTGGAAAAACAAACCCCAGTTATTACTCCTAATGTACTGAAATTTTCAGTGGAATCCATAATCGGTAAATCTTAAGGCTGCCATGTAAAAAAAACCCCATCCCTTTTTGGACAGCCCATGGAATTTTCTAGATGTTTATTAGACCCATCACTACAACAATTAATTAATTTCCCGAAAACAAGTTTCGCCACCACAACCACAACCACAACCACAACCACAACGACAACCACCCCCACCAACAACAACAACAACAACATTTAACAACAACGGCAACAACAATAATAACACAAAACATCTACAGCAGCAACACAACAAAATAGTAACAACAACAAAACAACAACACCAATTATAATAACAACAACAACAACAATAGCTATAACAACAACAAACAGGCACAAAAGGGAATAGCTATGGCTATCAATAACAAGGCCCAAATTCTAAGAAAAAATTATGTCCATGAAATTTGCTAACCATTGGGTTTTTAAAATTCATATTCTTTTTAAAGATTTTAAAATAAAGTTATCGTTCCTTTAATATACATGTAATATCTTTTTGGTGACGGAAAAAATTTCTTACACTAGAATGAAGCTATCGCAATAAGTATGAATGTGATATCATTTTCCCAAATGATATCTCAATGAATGCTCACTCCACTAGTCCTTCGATGCAAGATGCTTTTTTCATACTCCACATGTAGCAAGTATCAATCTCAAATCGATGACAAATGGGTGTTGGAATGTGTTTGTGTGTGTTGTTGTTGTTGTTGTTGTTGTTGTTGTTATTGTTGTTGTTGTTGTTGTTGTTGTTGTTGTGTGTGTGTGTGGTAGCCTATCCGTTCGAAATGTTCGGAGCCCCGAAGAGTGTGCTCTTCGCCAGGGCCACCGCCTCCCTTGGGTAGCGGGTGAGGCAGTCCAACCTCCCTGAATCCTCCCCGAAGAGATGACACCGCCGGGTGTTGTTGTTGTTGTTGTTGTTGTTGTTGTTGTTGTTGTTGTTGTTGTTGTTGTTTTTGTTGTTGTTTTTGTTGTTGTTGTTGTTGTTGTTGTTGTTTTGGTTTTGGTTTTGGATTTTTTAAAAGAATCTCAACATTTAATGAGTTAATACTTGCACCTCACTGCCTTTCTCCCCGGAAGCAAACAGTTCAGTTGGACCGAATGGATTGTTTGAGACTCAAATCAGTGTTAGATTATACTTCTTTTTCAAGAACATCTCTTCTATTCTTCATCTAGTATTTTAGATTGCGTCGTCGGAGGGAATTGAGCGCAGATGAAATCGAGGTTTTTCTCCGTCTATCGTTCCGTCGAGACGTTTTCTTGCCGACAAACCAGTTAGGCCGTTCTTTTATTTTGTCGGATAAACATTTCAAAGTACATATCCTCATTAAAACGGCGGCCTTAATCGGTGAGCTAGGATATAAAAAAACCCTACTTGTTCGTTATTCCTCTTGGTTTATAAACGCATTCAAACATCAGCGCCACTAGCGGTTGCTCCCCCCCCCCCCCACCACCACCACCAGCTACTCTTTATAATCGATCACTCATCTTCCCCAGGCACATTGCTACCTCTTGATCGCTGTGCGTCTTTTTCTGTCACAGATATTTTACAGAAATGTAAGAATGTGAACTGAAGGAAGTTCAAAGCATCCACTTTTAATGAATCCACTTACGTTTGAGGTTCAATTTCCCATCTTTCTCATTTGCATTTTTCGATATTGTTATACTCTAAAGGTTTCGCCTTTCGTCATCACCGTCAGCCTGTGTGTTTCCTCTGGGACGTTGTAGTCCTTGTATTGACTTGAAACTCTTTACTTTATTCAAATTGAAACTAAAAACCTTTTCTCCTTGCGTTGTCAAAACCAAGAGGTCGGCCCTCGATATGGCGTATTTGTGACTTCTAGGGCGTGTAGTGAACTTGCATTCGAACGATGTTCTTCTTCGATTTGTCCCAGCTAGATATCAGTGGTACTCAGTCGCAGGCTCTTGAATCAACAGTGCAGAATATTTGTACCTATAATGAACAGCTCTTTCTTTCTTTTTTCTTCTCAAGTTCTGTGTACCCCTCCCTGTACGGAAAACTATGTGCCGTTTTCGTAAGTACTCTCAGGTCAAAGTTTCTCTGGTGGTCGGACTGAGAAAACTTTTGTGCGTCACGAACGGACCACTGCTCTGTTTGAGAAAATGAAACAAGTCCTCAAAAATACTCATGGTAACGTTTATTTTATATCATTATGCGTTTTTATTCTAATATCTGGGAGCAAAGAAACTTACATGATGGAGCTAAGGCTATTCTAAAGGAACTGCTGTTTGAGAAACGAAAGAAAGTGGGGGTTTTAGAGCCGGCGATTACGCCTAAAGGCCTATAGATGACAAAACTTTCCTGAACGCTGTTTTAGGGAGTGAGCCAGGTTGCAGAGTACTATCCTTTCCAAAAATCGCTTTAGAATTATGATTTGGTAGCCAGATTCAGAAATACAGGCTATTCTTTAACTTTCAACAGCAAACAAGTCTTTAAATGCCGGCATACAATATACCTTGGGGAATTTTTGTTAGTTTGCTTTGTTTGTTTGTTTGGGTTTTTATTGTTTTGTTGAGGTACATTTAACATTCTTTTTGTGTGTGTGGGGGGGAAAAAAAAAAAAAAGGGGGGGGGGGTGCACTAAAAACTGCAATGCGACCATCATGTACTTCCTTTTCTTTATTCTTCATTGGGGGGGGGGAGTCATAACACCAGAGGACCGGGTGTGTAATTCAAATATCATAAGATCCGTCGGGTGTGAAAGTTCTGAAGGAGGAAAAAACTCAATTGAAGGTCTCCACGGAAAACCCCATGATGTCAGATTCTTGAAATTAGGAGAAATTGTAAATCTCAAACTTGTGGCCCCAAGTCATTGTTATTATATCAGTTGAAACAACAACTACAACAAAAGCAACACATAAAACAACAATAAAAACAACAACATCAACAACAACAACAGCAACAACAACAACAACCTACGAATATCATCATTTGTCCCATAGTGCTCACATAATCAACCACTGTCGAATGATATCAATACGAAACTGATATGTCCGAAAAGGACTTCACGGGGTTTTCCATCCAACCCTTCAACTGTTTCTCACGAAAACAGGTAACTGGGCATTGTGGGAAGATGGACAAGAATCTTATCTTTAACAATTTACATTCAATCACATCAAACATATGTGAGCAAAAAGTCTACAGCCACCGACGACTGATTGAAAAAAAATCCCTTGCCCATGTATATGAGATTGACGCCATAACATGATTAGTAGAAAAAAGTGCGTATGACAGTGTCCAATAGTGTATTACGTGCATACTTAGTTTGACCAGTAACTGTTACAGATAGAGATTCAAGGATTATAGATGTAAGTCATTGACCCTGAAAGTAGTGATGATTTTAGAAACAGTGGTGCAATGAGTGATGATGTGGGATTGCGTTTAATTAAGTAATGTTAGTGTTAGTACTATCTTCCTCTGATCCAATGAGTCACGAAGGACGTGGGCATTCTCTATCCCGTTCCCTACTGGAACCATCTTTAATGTCACCGTGAAGTTTCCGAAATGGTGGGCACAATCTCTGCTAAGGTGACATTGTTCGTGTTAGCTTATTCTATTGGGCCAAGACAAGTGTCGAGAGGAGTTACATTTGTAATTAGGGTGACATTACACTGGCAGGTATGTCGGGGTATTCGTAAGCGGGTTGTAGGGAGCAAGGTGACAAACAGGTATGAACTTTAAAAGTGCAGCATTCTACTCTCTGATCATTTACCACGAATCAGAGATTCTGACATAGGATTCTCGAACCTGATTCGAGAGGGCACCAACGACTAATTTTGTTTTGGTTTGATACCATGGCAACGATTGTATATTTCCTTATATACGTACTTGGTTTAATGACATTTATTGTATTTGATTTGATTTGTTTGTTTCAAACAATGTTAGACACTGTTGGCTCTTGGTTGTTGAAAGATTTTGTCCCTATGTTTCTGTTGTTTGTGCAATGTTACATTAAAAAACTTTATATTGATAACTGAACAGCAAGAATATTAAGGCCAGCAGAGAGGCTGAACACGGTGTGTTACGGCTTACTTTATTTTATGTCATATGAAGATAGATGAAGGGCTCTGTGGAAAACCTCTTGGTGTCAGGTTCTTGAGATTTGAAGAGAAAATAAATCTTAAACTTGAAAACTTATGCTGCTGTTAATCATATCATAAACAAAAAGAATTAATATACAAACAACAAAATATAAGCAACAAAAAAAGCCCTGTTTGTCCCTTTGTTTTCTAATATTCAACTATTATGGGTTCATTTCATGATACATCGAATGATATCAATACGGAAATGACTGCTTATGCCCTAAATGGACACCACAAGGATTTTCATTACACTCTTCAAATAGATACATCAAGACATGAACTATTGTGGGTGCATGATGAGCTTTGGCGATACGGTGAACTTTTTTTCTGTTAAAGTAAAACTAGCTGTAATAACGATGTCTGATATTATGCAAATTTGAATAAAGTACTCAATCTGCACCATCTTCTTTTCTTCTTTTCTATTTTTATCAAAGCACTCTTAATATTTTTCTCTTTTCAGATGCCACCAACAACATGTGAAGGGTTCAATGGGAAAATGGGTGTTATCACAAACTGGAAATCATGAGGATATCAATTTTAAAAGTTTGTAGACAACTAACAGTTGAACAGAAATGCAATTAGGAGTCTTTTAGCTCTTAAAACTGATACCCCCACTTATATCAGTCTGTGACGACGCCCGTTTTTCCATTGAGCACTTCATTTTTTTTAATGAATCATTTTTGGAATCACAAAGACAGTGAGCCGTCTTATTTTGCACAACAAGCAATTTTGTGACATAGAAGGAAAACAACACATCTTTATAATAGAATTTTCATAGCAGTATCAAATGGTGCGTTCTGAAGATGAACTCATTACCTACAAATACATGTATCTAGCCAAGTAATATCTGGGAGTCTTTGTAACAGTATGACATTTTTAAAAAATACAGCACACTTTCAACATGTCTTGATTTCATTATGATTGAGACTAAAACGTTTGTTTGTTTTCAAATGAGATATACATGTATTAGTTTTTTTGTGTAAAAGATCAGTTTTTGTCGTTTTCACAGTCTGCTCGTTTCTTTACTTCTCTGTTTTTGGTGGTGGGGGTTGTTGTTGTTGTTGTTGTTGTTGTTGTTGTTGTTGTTGTTGTTGTTGTTGTTGTTGTTATTGTTGTTGTTGTTGTTGTTGTTGCAGCTGTTGTTGTTGTTGTTGTTGCGGTTGTTGTTGTTGATGAGGATGATGATAATGATGATGATGATGATGATGATGATGATGATGATGATGATGATGATGATGATGATGATGATGATGATGATGATGATGATGATGATGATGATTATGGTGTGGTTGTTATTTTGTAGTTTAATATACTCTGTCACATTTTAAACCTTAATTTTTTTAAAATCCATGCCACCGATTTATGTCAAATTTACACACTGACTCCTTGATATACCTGTCGCTGTTGAGTTGTTTTTAGATTTCTGAACGCGCGTCGAGTGGTTTTGTTACTGCGTGCGTATTACATGTTTGGGGGGGGGGGGAGAATTACGCATGTCACAGCAACGATTTGCTGAAAAAAGAAGTACACATCAAAGCTTTGTCATTTTTGTAACAATTCGCCAGTGCTAAAAACTTGTGTTATCTACGTTTGGTGATGCCACGTCTAAGAGAAAAATGTGCAAAATCAGCTTGTTGGAATGATCCGCTGGGCTGCCTCGGTATCCACTGCTGCGCGACATTTTAATGTAACAAGAAGAGCCGTGTACGCAACAATGGATCGTGAAAGAACAAAAGTGTCACAAAAAATCAACCCCGTCGACTTGGGAGAAGAATAACTACTCCATGAGAGGATCTTTCTATGCGCCTGTCGCATCTACGAAATCGTTTCAAAACGGCAAGACAAACCAGAGATGAGTTGAACAACATGCGACCTGTCAACCCAAAATCAAAAATAACTATTGAGACGGTAGAAAGAATTTGGACTCCGAGCAAGGCGCCCAGCTCACCGCATCAAATTGACACCCTACAACATCAGAAACAGGCTTGATTGGGCAAGAATACATTCCCATTGGTCACGCCAGGTATGTAATCACCACATATTCTCCGACGAATCCAGGTTTCTTTTGGAGCGTCAAGATGGAAGGAAACGCATATTCGGGAGAGTAAATGAGAGGTTCGTTCCTCAACCCTTAAGTCAGGTCAGAGCTTTTGGTGGAGGAAGTGTGATGGTAAGGGGAGGAATTACAGCAGCTGGCAAGACCCCACTTGTGACTGTTCGTGGGAATTTGGTAGCTCACCGATACATTGACGAGATTCTTCGGGGACTAATCTTTATGAATGACAATGCCCCAGCGCATAGAGCTCGTCTAGTCACACAGTTCCAACATGGAAATAACATCCCAGTTCTTCAACCGTGAACTGCCTACTCACCTGATTTGAATCCCATTGTTCATCTATGGAACTTGCTCGATCGCGGCATTCGAAGGAGACAACACCAGCCTCAGACACTTCCTCAACTTGAGAGAGCATTGCATGAAGAGTGGAATAACATCCCTCAACAGGCAGTGCAGCGATTGATTGATTCTATGTGGCGACGATGTCAGGCCGTCATCAGTGCAAGAGGACATCATATGCGCTACTGATCGTGTTACTTTTGTAGACAACCCCCACATGCTTGTAAGTCGGGAATAAACCTGTTATGCTAACTTTCCGTATCGTTATTGCTTTTTTTGTATTGTTTTTTATTGTTTGAATTAGTATTCCTAAAATTTTTAAGAATATCGGCTCATTGTGAAACTAGCTTAGTTATTTCCATTTTAACACAGTGAATACTTAAAATGTGACAGAGTATAGCAGTAGAACGTAAGGTTTGTTGCTGTAACAGAGACGTCTAGTATAATGTCATAGACTGTGCATTATGGCGTGACTCCGTATCTCTTTGGAGGGCACAGTTTTATCCCAAGTTAAATCCAATGAAGTGAACGGGGGACGTGTTGTAAGCACTCTACTAAAGCTAGACTGGTGCTTTGCCTTTCATTTGAGTGCCCATGTTGATTGAGCACGCTTCGCAGCGAAGGTTTTATAGAGAGAGCTAAGAGTAGCCGCCATGACTGCACAATGAAAAATAATATGATTCAAGTCTACACATGATCATCATGCCCTTTATCCTGTGTCTACCATCTTTATCTATAATGTCAACTTACCCATAAAGCTAACTTTGGACCATAATATATCACTACAAATAGACAATGTTCCTTGCAGAACAGCCATGTGGAAGGTAAGTACTATTATTATATGGATTGAATACCCCTTTAACCTCTGTAAGTTTTGGCTAATCCAAGAGGAATGGCATTCAAAATAATCGCCCCTCTCCGATACGATGGAGCTTTGAAAATTCCCCAAAACAACCAACGTTTTTTAGCACTTCCTTGGTGATTCAAATCAGGGTTATTCTCACCACAGGCCACCAACATACCACCTGGGCAAACGGTGCTTCCGTTAGTAGGAAGGTTGTTTTCAAAATTTTGAATAGACGTCCTGAAAATTCAGCCCTGTTGCTAATGCCTTTCATTTGAGCTTATATTTAATGACTTTTGTCAGCGTAACCATTTTAAAAAAGCGTTCTTCCGAAATTTATTCCAAAACATGCTAGTTTCACTTTAATTTTTTTAAACTCAAGTAGGGTAACTTTGTTCGCAAAGAGTGCGCTTTTGTGAAGAGGGCGCCACCAAATTTTGAGGACACTTTTTTAATTGGCTCAAAGAGAGAAGTGGCCCATCTTGTTATGTACTATCATTGATTGAATACCCCTTTAACCTCTGTAAGTTTGTGGCTAATCCAAGAGGAATGGCATTCAAAATAATCGCCCCTCTCCGATACGATGGAGCTTTGAAAATTCCCCAAAACAACCAACGTTTTTTAGCACTTCCTTGGTGATTCAAAGCAGGGTTATTCTCACCACAGGCCACCAACATACCACCTGGGCAAACGGTGCTTCCGTTAGTAGGAAGGTTGTTTTCAAAATTTTGAATAGACGTCCTGAAAATTCAGCCCTGTTGCTAATGCCTTTCATTTGAGCTTATATTTAATGACTTTCGAGTCAAGGACCAAACTGAGCACATGTGTAGTCCTTATGCCCTTTAAAGGTGCGACACCTGTCGGGTAACATGGATTTAAAGCTCCTATAAGAGATGTAAAGACATCTAGAGGTGTGACCTCCGAAGATAAAGTCCATCTCCTACTGTCCTAGGAAAAGTGGGTTAAAGTGGCAGAACTTACTGGTCCCTTTCCACTTCAGTAATGTGGACATTTTAAAAACCTTTTTAAAGTACACTTTTTACAATTCTTTTATCGAAGAATGACATGCTGGTGATCATACATGTAATTGAAATTGCTGATTTTTACTGGAGAGATCCCAAAGCTGAAAGAAACAAAATAGACAAAAACAATGTTGTCTCATTACAAAACCACTGATATGACCTTATCTTGGTGTTCTTTTAATACTGTTGGCTGGTGAAGAAAACCCTGTAATTGTAAGAGCCATACAAAAAAGAATAGACAATGCTCTAGACATCAAGCATCAACAAGAACGTCTCTTATGAGATGGCAACATTACGATTGGGGGGGGGGGGGGGGGGGGGAGGAGACTTTTAAAAAATGTTATTCATTTTTAAAAAAAAAATATTTATTCGTTCATCTTTTGATTCTATCGTGTATTTATCTTGTATATATTTATTCCATTATTTATTTTTCGATCTATGAATCTACTCTTCAACTTTTACTTGACGCATCTATTCTGTCATATTTTTTACGGATTGTATAGGCTACTAAGAAGGAAAAGATCTGAAGTAGTAAAGGTGAAGGAGAAGGGGTGGGGGGGGGTATAAAACGGTAAGAAGTATAAAACAGTAAACTAAAAGAAAGAGCTCCCCAGCTGTGAAACATGAAGTTGCCCAATGTGAGGAGATAGGGAGATAAACGGATAAATAGTGGCTCGGGATATTGAAAAAAAAATGGAAGAAGCTGGGAGGGGGAAGGGTGCGGTTTTGGGGAGGGGGTGAAGGAACACGTGCGGTGGGAGGAGTGGGGCTCCAGAAGTACAGGGGTCCCGATGCAGGAAGAGAAGCTTGTAACTCTCGGCCGGGCGCTAGGCGAGCTCACAAGTTCCCGATTCGGCGTTGGTCCAGGCATTGTATGGAAACATCAATCACCTGCACGTCTGCTACAGACAAGCCATGCGCTGATGGACGGCTGATTTGGGGTCACATTCGAGAAAATATACCTAAAATTCCCCATCTCTGATATGAAAATAAACCGCCTTTGCTGGCATTGGGTTCGCGCTATCGCATATGGGGTGCAGATTCCGGGGGGAAAGGCAAACAAAACTCCAATCTGGTGTTGAGATTTCGGATCGTATAGCACCTGTATACGACACCCCGGAAAGGTCTAGCCTATGCTCATGTAAACATATAAATAGTTAGAAGGTTGATAAGGCAGGCGGTGTTCCAAAGAGCCTCGATTTGAGTTCCATTACAGGGAAAGTCGTGCGTGGGTACCGCTCTAGTTTCCTGCTGATCAAACATTACTGCTTCAACGATCTTTGGTTACTGTTTGAGAGAACATCTCCCATACATCTGTCCACCTACATACCGTACATGTACTGCACGTGCAGTATTGCCCTATCGCACGTATATATGATAGCAGGGTCACTACAGAAGCCAAACCTTTTCTTTTGTAATCTTGTGACGGCATACAGCTGTAAGTGTGTAATAGCACCTTTGTTTGTAGCTTGGTTTGCAAAAATACATGAAAGGTACGACCGTATTTCTTTTCGAATAGAGATAAGTGGTTTGATTCCAGCTTGGGTAAAGATCTGGTTTGTTCGTTTTTTCAAAACACCTTCGGACCCATGTATTGATGATGAAGACCTCGCCTTCTTAAAGGCAAAATTGTAACAGTGAAATGGAGTAAAGATTCTTACAACAAGAATAAGCTACAATAATATCAGCAGGAGCACCTCTAGTGTCAACGACAAAAATGATAAAATTACAAAGGCCCTATCATTAAATTTTATTACAGCGTGGTGTCCTTAACACACTATCTTTCTAAACATGATAAATTCTGTAGATTACTTCATGTTTTGTTAGTATTTTTCTTACCCAGACTAGGAGAATATTTCCAACGGTATCTTCTTCTTTGGACTAGGAGACTATTTCTAACGTAACTTCTTCTTCAGACTAGGGGAATATTTCTAACATATCTTCGTCCTCAGACGAGGAGAATATTTTTCACAGTACCTTCTTCAGACGAGGCGAAAATTTTAAGTGTCTTCTTCTTCAGACCAGGAGAATATATTTCAATCGCATCATCTTCAGAATAAGAAGAATGTAAGAAAAGTAGAATATTTCAACATTATCTTCATCTTCATTGTCTTCAAGTGATAGATCTGAAACGTAAATATCGCCCTTAATGGGTCGCCTTTAATTGTCTCTCGGAGTCACTCTACTTTTTTACTTTTCCGACCGAGCGGCCATCTGGAAACTAGCCCTCCGCCTGTCGGGGTCACTCAAACAAATCTATAGTTAGCCCAGTCAGCTCTTCACCCGTGTGTTCAAGTTCTTTAAGTAAATTATTCTTGATCGACCTCTGCATTTTTCCTTCTATTTTTCCAATGAGAGTAGGGTGCTCAAGGCCTTTAGTTTATTCCTATCTCAGGAGAGCTGCAGAAATCAGGAAAGAAGCACAGAGTGGTTCTAAAGGCTAGAGATCAGGTGTAACGCGAGCGAATGAGAGGGGTCCACAGTTCACAGTTTCTCTGTCATTGTTTCCACACGGAGGGAGAACCAAGCTGCAGCCACCTCCAATACCATGTTAGCGCGGTGCTTTTTAAGAAGTGCCATAAGTGACGAACGCTTGGGGTCTGGTGGCTCCGGTATGAGTTCCAAATGAGAAAGTTATGCAAGTGCAAGTGTTGAGAAACCCGTGGCACGCCACCCACACTGCATCCCGAGTGCCCATAGAAGTAACACAACGTGATATGAGTTGGTTTTTGTTGGGAATGAGAAACGTGATCGAGTTGCAGTTGCCCAAGAAAATGGTCTAGATAATCAACAGCAGCAGCGGCAGCAGAACCACTACCATCATTTTTTGGTGTAAAATAGTAAAATCATCATCACCATCACAATCACCGTCATCATTGTTTCAATTACGATAATAATGAAAGCAAAAAATTGGAGGAGACTTGAGTACTTCAATATTTATTTCACTATAAAATAACTTCTGAGTTTACACACCCTTCATCATTGTCATTACCATCCCCACCATCATCATCACTACCACCACAACCATCATCATAATTCGCTAATACGGAAACAACCTCGGACGCCTGGCAGAAAAAGACAAAAGATCAAATGCCCTCAGTGCCCCCGAGAAGCTAGGGGGAAAAACTCCAGAAGTAGAAACGAAATGTGCTCAGCCGACAGAAGCTTTTAGTACACAAGTACCACTGTGGCCAAGGACCAGGCTTATAACACCTAGTATTCATTTGCACAACTCAATATCAATAACTCCATTATGTGCAATAAAATAAATAGTTCCCTGCTCATGTT